TTACTGCCCTTGCTTGAAATGCCTTCTTTTTTCAGTTACACATTCCACATAGTTTTAGGAAAATGTCTCTTTTATTGTACCAATTGGACGCATTGAAGTCACAACATAAACAGCGACATTTTTAATCTGGGATTGTCTACTTTAAAACAGAAGTTTAAGTCTATTATTTTCTAATTGTAATTGTGTTTACTGGTGTATTGTATTTAACAAATGTGTCTACTAACACACCACTGTAATATTGGCCTTATATGGCTGCTGTGGTTGTATTAAATAAATTAAATAACTAAATAACTAAATAACTAACTGAATGAATGAATGAATGAATGAATGAATGAATGAATGAATGAATGAATAAATAAATAAATAAATAATAAATCAATAAATAAATCAATAATTAAATCAATAAGTAAATCAATAAATAAATCAATAAATGAATAAATCAATCAATCAATCAATCAATCAATCAATCAATAAATAAATAAAAACAAAGCTAGCAAATATCCAGCTTTGAAGTTACGCTTGAACTGTACTCTACAGGCAGGTGTGGTGGTCTTTTATTACATGTATGTAGAGGTGGTCACTAACACAGAATTGAGTGTACTAGTAATCTTTATTTGACAATGTTGAGATAGGAAGGAAGGAAGTTAAACTTGGCATGACCAAATCGTTGTGTGGATACTGCTGTAAAGTGAAGGAAAAACCAACAAGTTTCCTCCTCAGATGGACAACCTCTCTTACTGTTGCCAGTGATGGCAATTCAAAGCCTTTCTGGTAGAGGAGTTTCATATTGAATGTAAACAGTTCTTTTAATATGAATCTGGCTTTTTTTCTTTTCTTCTTAGGTGTTGATGCAATATTAGATAAACTCGATAGATCCAGAGAACTTCCAAAGTTCAAACTGTCACGATACGCTGGTGTCTTTGGTCCCCATATGGCGGAGTATGTCATTGGTTCCATCATTGCTAGAGAAAGGAGTTTTCATTTGCTGAAGAAAGACCAAGAGAAGTGTGAATGGTAAGCATTTTTGAAAGTAATATGGTGGCCCATAACAACAATGACATTATAGGTGAAATGTTGCCGTAATAGACCATTTTCCGTACACTGCGAGAATCACGCGTTATGCGTGAAATCGAACGTAAAAACAGGACAAACAAAGGTCATAGCGTCGTAGTGGCGTCAAACATCGCGTGGGATTCGACAAACGCGAAAGTATTTCAGGGACATTTCCATGCTTAATAATGTGCTGTACACATTTGATGATAGGCAATTTCGATTAAGTAAGGGTATTCGGAAGCAATATTCCTCTGTCGAAGATCGGCCGGTCGGTGTGAGCTACGAAATAAGGAAATTCAAGTTCAAAATCAAATCGTTCGATTTTTGCGGCAGACGATCGACGCGCGTCTTTCATGCATCTCGCGAGATTTTGCAATTGTACGGAAAATCACCTATTGTACAGCAATGTTCCAACACATGTATAACAACAGTTTACAGAACTTTTCAAGCGTAACTTAAGCTGGATTAATTTGCTTTCAAAGCTATCACATATCTAAATAGTATCATAGGCAACATACTAAAATGAAAAAACCATAGAAACCATATTCCATAGTTAGGACT